TTTCTATCGTAAAATAGCAATTCATTGAGTATTATTTTGATGTAAAGTGTAAATATATTGTAGTATAAAGTAGCAGTAAGTGTACTCACTGTACTTAACTACTATTAATTATTGGTAGTTATATTTAGTAAAATTTTATGATACTAGACACAAAATACTTTAATACTCGAACTCAATTACCTTAACCAGTATGATAAATTCTATTATATTTGTTCAAAATAAAACCTTAATCCCTTTGTACTAAAACACAGATTGTTTACAATATTGGAGTCCGTCATTATTATTTTTCTCCAACCTTAGTTTAACGAATAAAAAAATATTGAATGGAGGCGTGTGCGCGGACGCTTGCTCCTGTAAAACAAATGTAATTTGTGTTTTTTAAACTGTATGTGCCCTGAAGAACCTGCAAGAATTTGTGTGTGCGTGCATATAGGATTTGAGGAAGAACTGCCGAGCACCTACAGCAGAAAGACTTACGAAGCCGATGCCAGGTTAGTCCTTCTCGACAGACAGAATCTTTCCCTTATAAAACGCTTCCACTGCGGTGTTTTACCTTGAACAATATTCATTCGTGTACAATTCTGTTCTTGTACAGCAGTAATGATTACCTATAAATCTATAACTGATGGATTTACATCACAGACGATCTTGATAGTAAAACGATATAACACAGCGCCTAACCTTCCGATGATCGCGGGTTCGATTCCCACACGATATAAATATTTGTATGACGATTGTATTAGTCTAAGCATTTTCTATGTAAAATATCTATGTATTTACAAAAATCTAGCGGAGACTAAGGGTCCAATTGGTATTATATTATATATCTATTCAGGTCGACTTCTACGTAACCTTGATGAGTGGTGATTAATTTTTGGTGAATTCTTCATGGCCTTCATCTTTCATAACTGGCCTTACTTCATTCTCACCTATCAGCGCTCACTGGTACCAAGCCAGCATAAACTATGCCACGTTCATCTATGGAAAACTAACTTTTACCAGACGGAGACTTTGTACAAAAATCGTTTGCTTGAGTACCTCTGTCCTATTCGAGTTTCAACCGTGAAGCAGTTGTATTTTCATGGCTATGTTTCGGTTTGAAGGCCTTATCCTTGCCATATCCCAATATGGCAGTGAATTTACAGGCTACAGAGGAATAACACCTGAATCTTCAAGAATAGCAAGGCATTTGAGGTATCATGGGCGAAACAATATACTCTGTTATATCCATGGTACTGCTCATATCTATAAGCGATGGTTACCACTGTCCATCACCTGATGGTAAGTGTTAACTATCGCCTATAGCCATCAGCTTGTTTGCCATTCTAAGTTGTATAAAAATAAAACTTGCAAATTTAAAAATATACGTAGTAGTGGTCCTGGAAACTGCAACGTAGCTTGATAGCCTAAATCTTTTTTCTCCCTTTACAAAGGTGATTTAGCGAAGGAATTAATAAAAAAAAACTGCCTTAGAGATTGATTAGACGTAAAACTCGCAAGTGCCTTACGTAGCGAAACTTTATAATCTGCTTATCAGGTCTTACTTTGCCTTATTTTGAAAAACAGCACTTGTTCGGCTCTTAAGTAATTTAACTAGCAAAATAACGCAACATTGTCTGCGAGGATCTTAAATTATATAGATAATGTCTCCTTAAAAATCCCTCCCTAAAAATAGGTCAACTTTTTCATCCATACTTCGTAAATCAAGTTATCATAATGTACATTTATTATTAAGTATTGCCATATGGTTTTGGCATAGAATGTCAAAACCATATGGCAATACTGTCTTTTCCGAGAATTTTCCCCTTCCCCTGCCTTTTCCGAGAGTATCGTAAGGGATTTTTTTTTATGGGTGAAAATGGTATGGTAACCCCGCCTGCGTTAACGGGATACGCTGACGGAGCACCAGTGAAGGGTGATAGATGAAAATGAAAACAGGCCAGTTAGCCCATCATGATGAATTCATCAGGAATTAACCATGATAGTTTCCAGGGGGAACCGCGAGGAGGTCGACCAGGTTGGGTATATTGCTAGCAATGGGATTCTCAGCCTCCATTACTAACAATCCCTTTCCCCTCACATTTATATATTTAGAATATATCAGAAAAATTGTCCTCAATTCTTATTTAAAAATCGACCTGTATTCGAAAATTTTTAATTTAATTACTTCTGAAATCCAGGTGTATTCATCACGATGGACTGACTGACTTGGCTTTTTTTTTCATTGTCCACCACCACCGCTACCACCACTCCATTTCCATGTTCCATTAAAAAAATCTAAAAATACGCGTCAGCCAATATTAGGCTGACTAAAAGTTTATATATATATATATATATATATATATATATATATATATATATATATATATATATATATATAAACTCCATTTAGTTAGGGGTCGTCCTATACGAGGTCACCACTCATCTCTACTACATGTCTAGATGTGATGTCTTTTCTTATAGTATAAAACATTAATTATTATCAAATCTGGTATCAATCATTTCAAACAGTTTTATTTTTATTCAGTGTATAGGTAGGTACATATACTCGTAAACTTATATAAGTAAATAAAACAAAACAAAAGAAACAAATATTTCACGTTCAACCCATCAAACCCCAATTAAATGGCGTCTAATTTGTAATTTTGTCCCGAACCCTCCCGCCCGGGCAACGTGCCCGCCATTTTATTTGATTAAAAAATAAACCGGCTCCTCACGATGTCCAGTTACAATGTTGCACGAGAGAAAGATATTTTATTGCACATAAATTGTCTATAGTACTATTTAAATTTTATCTCCCAAAAGTGTCCGTTCAAGTGAGTATTCTACAAATGAGACTGGCCATTTTTTCCGAAGACATATGGCTCGAAAGAAAAAACCGATCAAATGGAAGTCGGACTCGCGCAACGAGGGTTCCGTACAATCGTCAGGTTTATTTTTTTTTTCGTATTATAACTACAAATTAACATAATTAATTGTAACTAAAAATTTACGGTTTTCGGATAAAGACAAGAGTTTAATAACACAAAGTTTTACAAGCAGAGAAATAACCACGACGGTTTTCAGGGGAAACCGCGTGGAGATCGACCTGATAGGGTACATTGCTAGCAATGGGGCTATTAAATCCTGTTACTAACAATCCCTTACCCCTTTCTTTTTTTTTAACGTCTAGAAAATGCTTTATGCAGACCCATACACCTTGTGGGAGGTGAATGGATACTGTGGGAATCCCCCCGTAAGGTGGGGGTGTACCCACCAAAACCAGACGATATACACTCGAGCTGCCATATGTCGGAGACATGGGTTCGCTTTCGCACTCACCACATCTCCGACGGAATCCTTTTCCCCCTAACAATTTCTAGTTAGTTCAGGTGATCCACACTACTTGTGGAATACAGGACACGTACTTATATCGTCATAGTCGTAGAATACTGACGGATCTGACAAATATTACATATAAAGATCCGTAGTATTCTACGACTATGACGATATCATCCATAGTTTTTATATTATTATTTACCAAATTCGAATTTGATACGCATCTCTACTGTTTCCTTTTGACTTCCCTTTACGACCCTAGTCTTATAAGTTGTTTTCGCCAATATACATACTCATATATTTTTTTATACAACTTAAAAGACGGTCCACCTGATGGAAAGTGGTAACCGTCGCCTATAGACATGAGCAGTATCATGGACATAATGACTTTTGTACAAAGTCTCCCTCTGGTGTTTTCATGTTTTATTTTGATTCAATTGTTAAGAGAAGTGTGGGCGACAAAAGAAACCAGGAATGGAAATTGGAGAGGGAGGGAGAGGGAGACTTTGTACAAAAGTCGATTGCTTGGATAACTCTGTCCCATTCGTGTTTCAACCGTGAAGAAGTTGTGTTGTCCATGGCTGTGTTTCAGTTTGAAGGGTGGGATATGGCAGTGAATTTACAGGGTACAGAGGTATAACACCTGAGTCCTCAGGAATGGCAACGCATGGGGAGTATTATGGGCGAAACAGTATACTCTGTTATGTCCTGTCTATAGGCAACGGTTACTACTTTCCATCAGATGGGCCGTCAGTTTATTTGCCATTCTAAGTAGCATAAAAAGATTGAATTAATAATTTACATATCGTGCAAGGACACCGAATAATTTTAAATAATTCCAAATTTAATAACGCTCAATAATATAAATACGGATAATTTATTTTAACAATACAAACAATACCATAAACTAATATTAGTCACGCCACAACAAAATATGAAATATTATACCCATTATGGTCCATCTAGTACATTAATGTTGCAGTACGATGAGCTAATAAGATATATGGCTAAATGACTAAAGAATATCGAAAATAAATTCACGTTTTGTCATGTGGTTTTATTTATGGAATCTATTATATCTGTATAATAGTTTAAAATACATATAATTATTTCCACTGTTTTTATTGTGTGTGCACGTGTGTGCGTGTGTGTGCGTGGGTGTGTGCATGCTTGCGTGCGTGCGTGCGAGAATGCGTGCGTGCGTGCATGTGTGCGTGCGTCTATATATATACCTACTACTCAATGATATTTTGAGCCAGTATCCGCAATTGGATGTATTTGCCTCCAACTTGCTGGAGTTTCATCGAGTGACCACAGAGTATTTGTGTTCAGACTTTTTTTGTTTTAGTTAAATCTTTTTATATTATTTTTTGTTTAATATTTTTGTGTAATATTCCTTTTTATATGTTATTGTACTCATGTTTTCCTGGGTGAGCGTATTGGAAGACTGTAAGGCTCACTCAGTGGATGTAATAAATAAATAAATAAAAAAATTATATATATATATATATAAAATAACTGTTTGTAACAGAATATATGACTGGACTATGTCAAGTTTCATATCATCAATAGACATTTTCCGTTATTCCTAATTATCTCATTTCCTTGTGACAAGCATCATTACTTTTCAATGTTACGCGGCTCGTATTGTGAATTTTCATTCGTTAGAGTGACCAGCCAATATCACAGAACATGTGTAACAAGATTATATTTATAATTTTTCTACTTTTATTATTGTGCCTACATTTTGATGTTGCTGACAAGGTATGTGTACAAAAGTCGTTTGCTTGGGCACCTCTGTCCCATTCGTGTTTCAACTGTGAATCAGTTGTGTTTGCATGGCTCTTCGGTTTGAAGGGTGGGATATGACAGTGAATTTACAGGGTATAGAGGAATAACACCTGAATCCTCAGGAATGGCAACGCATGGAAAGTTTTATGATTACGGATTACAGTATACACTATTATGTCCATGGTACTGCTCATGTATATAGGCGACGATTACCACTTTCCATCAGGTGGGCCGTCAGCTTTTTTGCCATTCTAAGTTAAATAAAAAAAAACTAATTTAATTTTTTTTCAGATTAGATACATAAGTACGGAGCGGCCTCATGTCATGTATTATAATCGAAAATTCCTTTCCTATGTAAATATAACGTCGAGACGGTTTAGCAGGAAGAACCCATTTTACTATGTGGATTTGCATTTTAATATATTACGTTCAATTGACAACAACTTTACGGTGAGCACATATATAAATATTTATAATTTACAACATATAATATTATATATATATATACCAGATGGAGACTTTGTACAAAAGTCGATTGCTTGGGTACCTCTGTCCCATTCGTGTTTCAACTGTGAAGCAGTTGTGTTTGTATGGCTGTGTTTCGGTTTGAATGGTGGGATATGGCGTGAATTTACTGGGTACAGAGGAATAACATCTGAGTTCTCAGGAATGGCAACGCATGGGAGGTATCATGGGCGAAACAGTATACTCTGTTATGTCCATGGTACTGCTCGTGTCTATAGGCGACGGTTACCACTTTCCATCAGGTGGGCCGTCAGTTTGTTTGCCATTCTAAGTTGTATAAAAAAAAATCCATTTTGGTGTAATAGTTTTTGCGTCCAGTGAGTGAATGAGATGCGTTAATAAACAATTAAATAAATTTTTGACAGAAGTATATAGCAGTATTATGATTGCATTTTACATCTGCATAGCACACCTGCAATGCCTTTGGTGTTGTGGGTGATCATGAGCGGCGGTAGTCACTCACCATCAGGTGAGCCGCATGCTCGTTTGCCCACTGTGTTGTAAAAAAAAAAGTTTCCTTACAATTCCAGATGAATTTTTACTTCGCTCAGGACGTTGGTAATGGACATTTTCGGGTCATACTTGATATGCACGAAAAATGGTGCCAATTTATCACTATGGACAATATATTTGGAGTCGCCATGAAACAGGGGAAGTTGCTGAAGCCCTGTCCACATCCACCGGTAGGATTTCTATTGTTTTTTACATTTTTGTTTCAATTTTATTTATAACTAGCGTCCCGTCCCGGCGTCGCACGGGTGGACATTTTTACATTTTAAAAAGTGGCCATTAAGGCTGCACACGCGACGAAAGCTTAAAAATGTAGTAACTTCTCCCGTTTTCCCAACACTTCCCTTCACTGTTCTGCTCCTATTGATCGTAGCGTGATGAAAAGTTTACTATAACCTGCCCAGGAATATAAAGAATAATTAGTAGTTTTTGTTTCTATAACGAACATAAAGACAGAGAGACAAAAATTTTACTGATTGCATTTTTGGCATCAGTATCGATCACTAATCACCCCCTGATAGTTATTTTGGAAATATATTTCATGTACAGAATTGACCTCTTTACAAATTTATTATAAGTATAGATATCTTTATTGCCCAACATCATCACCACGTCATCATTACCTGTCCACTGCTGAACATAGGCCTACATCTATTTGGGGGGGTTTTGCCAGCAGTTGCCACGTTTAGCAGGCGCGTTGGCAACCGCAGTTGGGCTGTTGATGTTTTAAGAGCGACACTACTGGCCATGCCTCGACCGTTATGTTCTCTTAGTCGACTTTTATGACTCCCACGAAAGTAACCCGGACCCAGAAGGTCCATTCTATGCTGGGACCACACGATAATTGACCACCGTAATGTATATTTTTTATAATTGTTAAAAAAATATCCAAGCCCCTTTTTATATCCTTTTCCAAAAATTCCTTCAACAATTTCATTAATTTTAAAATATCACAAACAATTTCTCACATTTATACATAATAATAAAAATCACTCGCCAATTTCGAAATTTTACAAAATATTTAAACATTCTTTGCATGATTTCTTTTTTATTGGTGAAATAAATCAAGGTGATATAATACATGTTCAAAATAAAAAAAAAATGTCAATTTTTTTTTTACAATTGACATTAAAAAGGTATCCATAGGAAGACTTTGTACAAAAGTCAGTTGCTTGGGTACCTCTGTCCCATTCGTATTTCTACCGTGAAGCAGTTGTGTTTGCATGGCTGTGTTTCGGTTTGAAGGGTGGGATATGGCATGAATTTACTGGGTACAGAGGAATTACACCTGAGTCTTCAGGAATGGCAACGCATAGGGGGTATCATGGGCAAAACAGTATACTCTGTTATTTCCATGGTACTGCTCATGTCTATAGACGACAGTTACCACTTTCCATCAGATGGGCTGTCAGCTTGTTTGCCATTCTAAGTTGTATAAAAAAATCCATACACAATCAACTTAAAGTGAACTTCGTCTTTTATATAATTTTTGGGCATTTAATGTTATGATGGAAATTTCCACCAATATGCAAAGAAATGTTCATTGCCGTATGTTCTAGGCATAAAATAAAGGAAGGGGTAGCCTCTTCCTTTCCCGTAGGTGTCGTAAGAGGCGACTAAGAGGGTGAGGAAAGGCCAACAGTGTCCCTTTTAAAATCTCCAAAGTCTAACTGCGATTGCCATTCGTCTGCCAAGCGTGGCAACTACTGGCAAAACCCCCCAAGGGGGAGGTTTAAGTCCAGCAGTGGACAGTTAAAAGCTGACATGATAATAATGATAAAAAAATCACAAGTCTCTATTCCATCGCGGTCTAATATTCCTTGTCTAATTTTGTTTAGTGACCAACAGTGGCGTAACAATAGGGGCTGGCAAAATGTCAGGGGCCCCCGACCCAAAAGGGCCCCGGCTCAAGAAGCCGCGAGCTCAGAATTTTTTTTACCTTGTTCCTGAGTATTTTATTTTACTTGAAAATAAATGATAGGGCCCCATCGAAAGAATTTGCTACAAGCCCCAAATGGTATAGTTACGCCACTGGTGACCAACCACTTAAATTATAACTATTGTGAGTTATACTGTATTCTAAGCGCGCTCATGAATACGGGCTCCCACTAATTGCGAAACTAGTCGGGCATCCCCGAATTTAAAATGTGAGTGAAACCGAAATAAATAATTTAGATAAATATTCGAATTTTGTGTTTCAGGGTGATTATCACTTGTACAACATGAGTATACCAGTGGAGAATATACCCAGGAGTTTGCCGTATTTGAAAGGACGTATATATTCTAATATCACGCATACTTCACTAAAGGAACCTATATGCAGTGGTTACATAGACATGGAAATAAAAGATTACAAGAAACAATAAACTAGTCCATTAATTGTATTGTATTGTATTGTAAAATCTTTATTGTACATAATTCAAATTAAGCACTGATAAATGATTTAATATACAATGGCGGACTTATCCCATAAAGGGATCTCTTACAGTCAACCTTTGAGAAGCTGAAAGAAAACTGTAAAATGTATAAGGGTAATAACCGTACAAATAAAGATAAACTAAATAATACAGCTCTGTATACCTACATATGTAAATAATAAAAGTACATGAATAATAATATAACATTAATACATAAATAAATAAAAACTTACACACAAATACATATATATATTTGTGTGTAAGTTTTTACGCACACGCACACGCACACGCACAGATATATATATACATACATATATAATGGCATATATATAAATACATAAATACATTTACATAATGGAAAATGGCTAAGTCTTTACACCTGAATGGTACTATGAATATCACAGAATACACTGTTAAACCCATGATATCTCGTATAAGTTGCCTTCTCTGATATATATATATATATATATATATATATATATATATATATATATATATATATATATATATATATATATATATATATATATATAATATATATTGAAAGCCAACTAACTAACAGATCTATCACAGTTTTTATTCATATTAGATAGTTGCCAGATTCCACTAGATAAACCATAAACATGAATAGCTATAGATAAGCAATTGCATTTTTATGCAGCTTAAAATGGCTAACAAGATGACGATCCACCTGATGGAAAATGGTAACCGTCACCAATAGACATGAACAGACATAGACATAACAGAGATATATTATGCCGCTCTTGATACCTTTCATGCGTTGACATCCCCGAAGAATTGTTATACCTCTGTACCCTGTAATTTCATTGTCATATCCCAACTCTTGAAACTGAAACATAGCCATGCAAACCCAACTATTTCACGCAAGCAAACGAGTGCAAAGTCTCCCTTTAGTAAATTTTTTAATATTTTTTTCTAAAGAAAATTATAGGATAGAAAATGAAGGTACCTTTCACAATCAAATGAGTGAACAAAAAGAGTTGCGTCGGAAGCATTCCGTTTATAAATTGTCTCCGACCGAGATGGAATTATTCTGGGAATCCTAATAAATTGGGAGCAATTTTAGGTAAATGAGTCCCCGTCGGAATCGGTAAGGGCGGATGTACCTTTGCCTTTAATTTGGCTTAGGCCGTGTCTATATTAGTTGAGTTATTAATTATTATTTCAAATACTGCTTACTAGCTATACCATGCGGCTTCACCCGCTTGAATCACTGTATTAAGTATCATATGTGCCAAATTAATATATAGCCTACCCAAAAACCAAATTCATACAAATCCGTTTTCATACAAGTACTTTTTTCTCGATCCATTGCCTCTTCAGCTTGCTTGTCAGTGAATTTGGTTCTTTTGCGGATATCCTCATTTCAGATTCTGTCACGCAAAGAAACTCCCAACATAGCCCCCTCTTACGTAACTTGAAGCTTTTGCATATGGGCTAACTTGTAGGACCACGTTTTGGCTCTAGAGGTCATGTCAACACGCGCTGGTTTAAGGTAATTTTGCATGAGGAGATGTGGCGTAGTTTTTTTAACTCCGCCCAGCCGAATTGGATTCGTCGGTTAACCTCTCGGTCGAAGTTGGACAACTTGTCCCAGATACACATTCTCGTAGCGTTCTTAATCATGACCGGTATATGTGTGACATGGAAGTTAGACATGGTTTTAGTCTTGTCCATGTTTATCTTAAGACCTACCTGTTGAGAAACACTATTCAGGTCATTGAGCATAGTATTCAAGTCCTCCATTGATTTCGCCATCGATTCGATTACTATATCATCAGCAAATTGAAGTATGTATATTAATTTTTGACACGAAAGAAATTGATAACTCATGATATCGTAACAACGAATTTAATAACTAAATAGGTGATGATGATGAAATTATAATCAAACTCTGGTATGTACATATGAACACGTCTTTACCTATTAATTCGCCTTTAATAAACGTTTGATGAGTCCAGTAGGTTTTCCTATACTCGTGCAAAATACGACGATTTTCTGGACAGTAAATACATAGCTATATCTAAACGTATGTAGAATCGGATCTCACCCATATTAAAACCCACCTACCCTTTATAAATAAGGGATCTGACTTGACCTTTGGACCTTTCATAAGAGACGGAAATATTCTAATGTTCATAGAAAATTATAAATATTTATATCAACAAATATATGCCAAAGCTTCAAATTACTCAGCGGGCTATGGAGAGGGCTATGCTTGGAATCTTTTTGCGTGATAGAATCCGAAACGAAGATAGCCGCAACAGAATCAAAATAACCGACACAGCCCGAAGGATAAGCAAGCTGAAGTGGCAATGGACTAATCGCATAGCTCGAAGAACCGTTAACCGATGGGGAAGAAAGATTCTGGAGTGGCGATCCCGTACGGGCAAACGCAGTGTAAGACGACCCCTCACTAAATCGGGTGTCGACCTCAAATTCATTGCAGGGAGTCGGTAGATGCAGGTAGATCAAGACCGTTCCTTATGGCAATCTATAGAAAAGGCCTATATATGGTACAGAAATGATGATAACTAATATCAACAGTTATAATTTATATATAGCAGTGTGATTAAATTTTTCACCGCATAATTACATTTTGGCAAAGGTTAACCAACGGACGAATTGTGCATAGTTTTTTTTTCAAGCCTATATTTTTTTATACCGTGAAGGTGACATTCAAGCATATAGCCGGTCTAATGGTAAACGTTACTGTTGTCTATGGACGCCTGCAACACTAGAGGCATTGCTGACCCTGGGGAAATTGTAATACACTCTCTTTACATAACCCCATACAGTAGTCTCTAGAGAAAATTTCGGCAGGTCGCTAATTCCACTCCCCGAGAGTTTGCAGGAGAAAACTCTAAAACCGCAGTATAAACAACCATTTAGATTCTAGCGTGTAAGAATATATTTCTTGAGAATAGCGAGCGATGTGATAAAAAAAAGGTGGTAAATTCAAATTTCCATGCACAAAATCACATATTTTATTTGCATTAATGATTACTAGAAATACAAGAGCAATGTTTTTATTATTTTGATTAAGGAAATAAATGAGATACCGTTTCTCCGAGACTCAGCTTTGAAAAACCCCGATATCATAAAAACTTTAGTGGATAAAACTCTTTATGAGTTGTAAAGAAAAATATGTAATTTACTTAATACATACTGTCGATTTCATTTCAGAGATTTCATATTATTAAGTACTATTTATTTATTTTTATCTATAACATGTAAGTCGATTGGTACACATGTATGACTGTAACTACTAATAAACTGTCAATTTATCTCATATTGGGTTTGCTGGAATTTTACCAGAGGGAGACTTTCGTTTGGTATAAAAGTTCATTCTTTTTTTTTTATACAACTTAGAATGGCAAATTAGCTGACGGCCCACCTGATGGAAAGTGGTAACCGTCGCCTATAAACATGAGCAGTGCCATAGACATAACAAAGTATACTGTTTCGCCCATGATACCTCCCATGCGTTGCCATTCCTAAGGACTCAGATGTTATTCCTCTGTACCCAGTAAATTCACGCCATATCCCACCCTTCAAACCGAAACACAGCTATGCAAACACAACTGCTTCACGGTTGAAACACGAATGGTACAGAGGTACCCAAGCAATCGACTTTTGTACAAAGTCTCCCTCTGTCATTCAACAATTGTTACTTGAAGAAGCAACAAACATCCACCTATCTGTTTATCTATTCTTGTAAATATTCGCATTTATAATAATAATAGTATAAAATGTTTTAGAGTTTCAAAGAACAGTGTGTCTGAAACCTGGACTACTAATTTGGCTTTATGGCGTAGCTTAAGGAGGACCGTAACGTATGAGAAAACTAACCTTGCGCCAGAAACGCTGCGCTGTAATGTTGGTTTACGATACCGCGTAAACTTAACCTTAATAAAAATAATACAAGTTTACAACTCTATGTCGTATCTCGCTGGAAATCGTCGTACTGAATTCCAGGCGTATTCGTCACGATTGACTAACTGACCTGCCTTTTTATTTTCACCTAACATCTCTCAACCCTATTATATATAATTATCCTATCTACTAAGTTAGCATATAACGTACCTGTGTACATAAATTCATTCAAAATTGTTTAATAATTTTTGTGAAAAAATAACTTATATATATATATATACATATATATATATATATATATATATATATATATATATATATATATATATCCATCCATCTGACCATTCATCTATCCGTTCATCTATCCATACATCTATCTATTTATTTATTTACTTGTTTTTTATTAAAGAAAAACTAAAAGCTAAAAAATTTCATAATAAAAAAAGAATAGTAAAAGCACAGTATTGTATTGCACAGTATTTCATAAACTTGGTGACAAGTTGGTGTCACTGTCACGATGGATGGCTGACGTATAAGTTACTCATATTGTCACCGCATTCCCATACTAGGATAGCTACACTATTTCTTTTGAATTCGTTTATTTATATCATTTAAGTTAGCAAGTTTAACTACTAAAGTCTAAAACTAAGTATCAGGCCATATGAAAAAAAATATATATTAGGACAGAAATTACGTGAATCAAAAATTAAAAAAAAAGTCGAGCCTCGTATAAATAGATAGATACGAGTGTGAATTCCCCACGACGTTTATAGAGTTGTTAATTTTTTTTATACAACTTAGAATGGCAAACAAGCTGACGGCCCACCTAATAAAAAGTGGTAACCGTCGCCTATAGACATGAGCAGTGCCATGGACATAACAGAGTATACTGTTTCGCCCATGATACCTCTCATGCGTTGCCATTCCTGAGGACTCAGATGTTATTCCTCTGTACCCTATAAACACAATTATCTCTAGATGACAGTTAACAATTTCCGTCAACATTTCTGTTTTAATTTGTTCAAAAGAATAACCACGAAGCCGTGTTTTTC